CATATCATCATAGTATGAATTACAATTTTTTTGTATACATATTTCAATAAGAAGATCATATACTATGGCATGAAGAATCACTAAGAATCACAAGAGAGGCATACAGCAATGAAACCATATTTGAAGATGTGATAACAGTTGAAATAATTATCTTCCCATCACAAGTAGCCATGTAAGTAGCCCTGGGTGGGGGCCGGGGGAGGGAACAATAGGTCTCCCAGACAGTAGATTCAACCCCATTTGTCACTTAGGACCCCCACCTGCAGTTAATGGGTGTGGGCCGGAGGGAGACACGAGGTCCCACAATTATTTTCATAGTTCCCACTCATGGTGCATGCGTGGGGGCTTGCGGGGGGACATTATGTCATCATAAAAATACATTAGACAAACTAGTACCTACTTTGTGTTATGTTTTAAAGAAAACTAGATCAGAAATGAAAAAAAGAAGAACAGATTCTGAGAGAGGAAGAGAAGAGGAAACTATTAGAAAAGGGTACCGTATATACTCGAGTATAAGCAGAGTTTTTCGGCACATTTTTTGTGCTGAAAAACCCCAACTCGGCTTATACTCGAGTCACTGTCTGTATTATGGCAATTTGCATTGCCATAATACAGACTGGGGGCTGGCAGAGCTGTTACTTACCTCTCCTGCAGCTCCTGTCAGCTCTCTCCTTCTCCGCGCCGGTTCGGTCAGCACCTCGGTCAGCTCCCAGTGTAAGTCTCGCGAGAGCCGCGGGGTCATAGTGCGGCTCTCGCGAGACTTACAGTGTGAGCTGACAGAGCTGCACAGACCGGCGCGGGGGAGGAGAGAGCTGACAGGAGCTGCAGGAGAGGTAAGTAACAGCTCTGCCAGCCCCCCTCCTCCCCCCACTGAACTGCCAATGCCACTGGACCACCAGGGAAGGAGAGCCCCCCTCCCTGCCATGTATCAAGCAGGGAGGGGGGACAAAAAACAAATAGATTAATAATATATAAATAATAATAAAAATAATAATAATATAACCAAAAAAATTAAAATAATATTAATTAATATATAAATATAAATAATAATAAAAAAATAATTAAAAAAATAATATAACCAAAAAAATTAAAATAATAAATAATAATATAAATTTTTTATTTATTTTTATAAAAATGCCCACCCCCCACCAAGGCTCTGCAACACAAACACACACTGCATCACACACACACTGCATTCATACACACACACTGCACTCATATACACACACTGCATTCATACACACACACTGCACTCATATACACACTACATTTATACACACACTGTGCACTCATACGCACACTGCGCACTCATACACACACACTGCATTCATCATATACACACTGTAAATAAATATTTAATTAATATAATTTTTTTAGGATCTAATTTTATTTAGAAATTTACCAGTAGCTGCTGCATTTCCCACCCTAGTCTTATACTCGAGTCAATAGGTTTTCCCAGTTTTTGGGGGTAAAATTAGGGGCCTCGGCTTATATTCGGGTTGGCTTATATTCGAGTATATACGGTAAGTGCTGTGTGACAGTGCTGATTTAAGAAACTCATATACAACAACATGAAGAATCACTAAGAATCACAAGGGAGGCATACAACAATTACACCATATTTGTAGCTGTGATAGCAGTTGAAATAATTAACTTCCCAACACTAGGAGCCATGTAATCACCCCTGGACTCTGAGTCATGGCAGGGACATGTGAAGCAGAATCACGTATACATTTACTGACATAGCAATTCATGGGGTCTTGTTTCCAATACTCCAAGAAGCCAGAGTACAAACCAATGAGAGTCTAAAATCAGGGTTTGAAAATCAGGTCTGTCCCACTGAGTACGGGACATTGGGAGGCGTGGGTTCGCTGAGTTAATGAGCGATGCCACAGGACGTGCTCAGTGAGCAATCTGTCGGTGTTCTAAATAAACCTCTGCTCAGAGCACGAACTTACGAAGCAAAAAAGTAGGGTCTTTGTAACAAAAAAAGCTTATTGTCCACCTAAAATATAGACTCAGAGCAGTAGTTATGGAGCTGATCATTGAAGCGTGCTGTGTTCACGCAGAGTTCTTGCAGCTCCTGCAATAGAGGAGCCTAACATGGTCTGAGTGCCTGCGCATGGATGGGCCAATGGGATAGCTACATGTCCTACCAAGCAGGAAGCAAGTAAAGCTTGGCCACCAGAGATTAATCTGAAACTAAAGATGAGAAGAATTTGAAAGGCATCTTCCAAGCACCATTACAATACGCTGTAGTGACTGGGATGCTTGGAGTGAACCAGATGTTTGCAGATGTTTACATTAGGCCATTCGTGTGGTGAAGCCAGTTTTAATGGATAGGGAAGAAGAGGAATAAAATACTTCAGTCACTGTGTCCCAATGGGAGAATTAATGTCTGGACAGTGACCTCACAAAGTATTGTTCTCTTCTCATCCTGACACAAATCCATAGATTCCATTATATGATATAATTCATTTCAAAAGTATCCAGCCCCACTGACCTCTGCCTGTGAGCACCATGTGTCCACATTAGTCAGTTGGAGAAAACTGAAGCAGATGGCAATGTTAAAGAATACGGCATAATCATAACTCACAAAGCATATTCTATAGAAATCTTAGTTAAATTACCACTGTTAATGCTCACCCCATATAATTGTTAACTCTACTTAGGGATCAATATAACACAATATCTTACATTCTCCTTCCCCACTAGTCCCCCCCCACCTTGGCTGCTTCGACAATTTGCAGAATAATGTAAAATACAATAGATTTTATTGCGATTTGATTTACATAACATACATAAAACTTTGAAGGTGTAACATATATATATTTTTTATTGTGACACAAAAGTAATAAAAAAATATAAGATAAAGATGTGTTTGTAGCATAAATCCTCACCCGAGGTGCTGTGAAACCTCTCTATAAGCTTTCACTTGCTTTCAGATGTCAGATATTCAGTTAAATAGAGCTCAGGTGCACAATCGCAGAATAAATGGCCCTAAAAGTTGTTATAGAACTTATCAAAACCAACAGCATCAGACAATGTTACTATCAAAACAAGTCAAAAAAAGTTCTAGAGACGAACAAGTTCATGTAAGATTATGAAAACAAACCAACCCTCCCTTGGAGCACAGTTAAATCTAAATAAAATTGGGATTTATCGTGATACTAAAGTTAATTAAATGTTTTATGAATATGTATCCAAAATTTCCAATATAAATACTTGGTGGAAACAACTTTGGCTGCAATAACAGCTGTTGTTGGATTTTCACATCTGGTTCCTGCAATCTTTGACCATTTGTCTTGGCAAATTTTCTCAAGCAATGTGTTGGATTGAATGGTAATTATTGGAATACAGACATTTCCACAGATTCAGGTCTGTTAGTGAGTGTGTCTGTTAGTGTGTGTGTCTGTTAGTGAGTGTGTGTGTGTGTGTCTGACTGTTAGTGTGAGTGTGTTTGCCTGTGAGTGTGTGTGTCAGTGAGTGTGTGTGTCTGCTAGTGAGTGTGTGTGTTTGTGTGTCTGACTGTGTGTGTATGTTTGCCAGTGAGTGACTATTCTAAAGTGACTATTCTAAAGCATTCAATGCCTCGATTCAGATCCCTCCAGCAATGATTTGGCAGTCTCCTTAGCGTTATTATCCTACTGGAAGGTGTACACCCACCCCACTCTCACCTTTTCTTTACTGAAACAGGTTGTTCTTTCCTCTAGAATTGTCTTATATGTTGTCCCATATCTGGTCATCTTTTCTTCATTCCTGACAAGTTTCTCTATCTCATCTTCCAATACATGACGCTACCAACAAATTGCTTCACATACCGGCATAGAGTTCTCAAGGTTATTTAACTTTTGTGCCACAATAACAAAACACGTCTGTGCACTTACAAACTGTTAGATATGTTGTGTAAAAATCCCCCAAATATATTGTTTTATTCCAACACTACAATATGTGACGTAGAAACCACTGAGGGGGTAAATACACGTGAAGACACTGAAAGGTAAGATATATTAAATAACTTGACCATTGAATAAACAACTCAAAAACTAAATGTACAACCAAACAACGAGATCATCTTAACAAAATCCCAAACTGGATTTTTCACAAAATTCACTCCAATGCATGATACACCAAGTATATCAACATGTTATTGAAGGACACAGGCCTTTATTTTGGGATCATTCTAAATAACATGCATTTGAACATTTGTCTTCATACTTATCAAACCATATACTATATTTAGCCCTTACCAGAAAGATGTCTGTGAACATTGTATCATCTTTACTCTAGACAACTGATACATTAATTTACTAACATAATGAACACACAACAAAAGCATATACAAAGCCATAAATAGAAGTGTGATTTGACTTATATCTGGGAAAACTTCAAATCATAAGGTTTCCTCTAAAGTGGGCTTATCACCTTTAAGATTTTAGACTAATTCAATTTACCTACAGAAACGGCCTATTTTTTTGTGATTCATTTTTAAATAGTGAAATCGGTTCGCAGAAAAATTAGTAAGTAACTTTTTTTTACTTTAGAAAAATTATGTTTTCTTCCTTAATTAAATGTTTGGCAAATGCATTCTGTTTTTATCACTCACTTGTCTCCAATTCAACAGCCCTTCTTCTGATTCTACTTTTGAAGCTGTCAAGACATATCAGCCTTAATTGAGCATTAAGTTTAAAAATGTGGCCAGGAAAGTAAGTGACTGGAAAACTGACAGATCCTCGGAAATATGAATATCACTTAATATCACATATAGAGACTGACTGACAACCGGGATGACAACCATTTTGTTTACTTTAGAAGTCAGGCCTGCACAGGGTGGGAAAGGTGTCCACCTTGCTGGTAACCTGGATCTATCAATATCTCTTGTACATTTTTTTAAAATTATTTCTCATTCATTTTTGAATACATGACAAATACATGGCAAAGTTCCCTCCAGCCATTATTAGTCTTTGGTGAGTGTAACATTTATGATAGCTTGTACTTACCTCCTTCATCAATTGATGCCATTGGAGTTGGAGGTACTGGCCTTTCTCTGTGTTTTGTTCTTCGTTGCAAACACTGGACTGGCCCAATGAATTCCACATGAGTGCCCGGGAAAAGTCCTTTCTCCTTGGTTCTTTCATTTACACCATTCATCCATCCTTTGGGGCACAACTCGTCCCCATCCATATAATCTGGAGTGACTATGCTCTGCTTGGTCACTGTTAGAAGGTCACCAGTAATGAAGGAAATATCGTCCACCCGGCTCTTTTTATAAACATACAGAGCACGGTACTGCAGACCACCGGATGTCATGGCTATCAGATATCTTGGTACAAAATATTTACTAGTAGTGGATAAAAAAAAAGTGTTCAATGGTTTAGCCCTTTTCTTGTATAGAAATTGTGCTGATTTCTGAAAATTCTGTTCAAATTTCAAAAACAATTCTTCAAAAAGGAGCAAGGTATCTTATATAGTGCATATCAAAGTACAGTGTGTTCTATCAGACAAAATGCAGCTTTCAGAGAGGGGAAACACCCAGTCTCAGGCCAGCCAGACAGTCCCCTTCATTGCTTGCAGACAGAGCATACAATCATTCTGGAGTTGATCAGCAACAATGTCTTTTCAACAAGGAATAATTAAAAACTGGGCCAGACAAAGCCAGTGATATATACACAAATATATTTTTTAAACTCTACATGGGGTCTAAGACACAGACGAACAAGTGATCAGATGTGAATAAATCACCTTTATTCAGGAAAGAAGTCTTATTGCAATTTTGTTTTGTTACCAAGAAAATGTCTTTGTTATGGGTATATGAGCTTTATATGGAGTAATTTACTGGTACTAAGTGATGTATTTTAGTGCCTGTTGACGACCTTTGTCTTCAAAAAAATTTTTTGTCTTCGTCAGATTCCTTTCAAGATAAAAAGAAAATTTGTGAAAATTAACAAAAATCCAAAAATAAAATAAGAGCGAAGTAATCTTTTTTTTTTTTTTTTTATGGATTTTATATGAGACATGATCGACAAAATCAGAAATGCAGCAATTTATTCCATATGATCTTTACATAATGCAGACTGTGGTCAGACACACGTGAAGACGTTCTCATACGTACATACATGCAAAAAAAAAAAAAACAGCGTGAAGACAGCCCGTCCAAACATACCAACAAGTTTCCTGTAACTCCTTCACTGCTCAAATGCCCTCCAAGAAAATACAAATGGATCTAGATGAGAATTTGCAACGTAAGGTTGCAGTGCAGAACAGACCCGAAAACAAAAATGAGAACTTTATATTATACTATTATGATTCGGGGATATCGGAGTTAATATTCAGTGCAGTATAATAGTTTATCTGTTGGTAAAAGCCACTAATATATCAGACAAATCTTTTCACAGATGCAATGGACCAAACACAGGAAAAATGTAGAACGAACCAAAACGAATAAGAATCTTCGACATCTGCTTCGCAGAATTTGTTCGGTGTCTACGGTTTAAACAAAAATGCAAACAATTCCATTTTCAGCAAAATTACAAACATATTGACTTATAGGGCTGCCGTTAGTTTTTCATGTTCTGTGTTTTCTGCAATCTCAAAAATGTACAACCTGCCAGCAAGTTAATGCGCAATACAAAAAGTCTACTTGTGTGGGTTAGATTCCCAACAGGAATACACAGATGTTTGTAATAAATTGTCTGAATTCGATGCCCCATTACGATCAATACGGCTGCCTGAGTGATAAATTATCCATAGCAACTTAGACAAATGCAGACTTAACTTCTAACTTACCAGTCCACGCAGTGAGCCAGGGATTAGGGAGGGGGGACTAGACCCTGGTCTTGGTATGTCTTTTCCCACCAGGTGAGGCACAGGAGGAGAGAGAGACTGATCACAGTGTGGTGACTTCCCCAATATGAGCACCGAGACAGTGAACACAAAAAAAGGTAAAAACAGTCTCAGCAAATGAGGGCTGCTTTCTACCCAGCCCAAATCCCCTGCACTACTGTCTGATATTTAGAAAATGATGTCAGAGCTGCAGACACACCTCCTCCTTTGCAATGATATATGGTTCTTGCACAGACACTCTGAGCTGCAGGAATAGTCGGGGAAAGAATCTTAAACAAGGGGCAGACGGATGACTTGAACTGAAATGACTTCAACGAGGCTGTAGAAAGGAGTTGAAACAAGGCTGATGCATAATCAGAGACAAGATGCCAACGAACAAACACAGCGTTATCAGGAAAGGCTGCACCCCTTCATAGGCAGAGCAATAGTAGCAGCTTACATTAGTTACATTTTATTCTCAGCAGGTTTGTTACCTGGATCAGATAGAGAGGATCATTTTGGATAGTTTTGTAAACACAGAATGCACAATATGCTTATCTTCTGATTCTTCATTTTTTACCAACGCTGGTTAATAAGGGCTGCTTCTGACGCTTCTCTTTAATCTGGTAAATAAAAAATAAGGTGTCAGACTATGTTGCACTTGCATCTCCCCAGAATTCATTACAGTTTGTCTGCACCAAAAGTTGAATCCTGTACTTTTTAGCTGCATATGCTTAAAGGGATACTATAGTCACCAAAACATCTTTAGCTTAGTGAAGCAGTTTTGGTGTGCAGATCATTTCCCTGCAGTCTCACTTCTCAATTCTCTGCCATTTAGGAGTTGAGTCACTTTGTTTATACTGCCCTAGTCACACCTTCCTGCATGTGATTTACACAGCCTTTCTAAACACTCCCTGTAAAAAGAGATCTGATGAGGAGATATTCCTTTGCTGCACAGTCTGTTTAATCTAGAATAGTTTTGTCTCCTGCTCTGGTAATAGTCATATAAACCCTGTGATTAAAATTTAATTTACAGAGCAGGGGATGAAAACTTCTAAAGCAAGTTAACAACAGATTGAAAATTAAACATTTTTTTCCATGCAGTCTGTGTCAGTCACAGCCAGGGGAGGTGTGGCTAGGGTAGAGCTGCATAAACAGAAACAAAAGTGATTTTTCTCCTAAAGGGCAGATAATTGAGCAGTGAGACTGCATGGGGCATTATATATACACTAAAATTACTTAATTTAGCTAAACTTGTTTTAATGCCTATAATATCCCTTTAATTAAATAGGAGGTAGCAATAGACATGAGTTGGCACTCTATAAATGCCAATAATAATAATGGGTTATATTTTTACCGAGGCAAAATACTCAGGTGAAAGTGAGAAATAAGGAGCAATCATAATGTAGCAATAAGGAGCAATCACCATGGAGACTGAGTCTAGCACCTGTTTGAAACGTATAGCCTATAACATTATACTATAACACATTCAGAGTGGAAAGTCAAAATGAATTTTAAATTTAAATCCAACATAGCCAAAGTGGAATTCCAGACAATTCTCACTGCAAAACTCTGAAACTGTTTCAATGCAATGATTACATGGACACTATATATTTATTGATAACATCAGAGTGTTCTTTAATGGGATTAGAGATTCAGGACCCACTCTAGAAAAAAAAAGCCAGAAAACGGCAGTAATCCAAAACCAAAAAATTCATCTCACATCAGTTCAACCAGGAGTTCTGGTAAGATCAGATGCTTTTCATCTGATTGCATTGAGAGCCGATGATGCATGCGCAACAATTGAATCCGGTAGTTCTTTACCTTTACAAGAATGATGAGATGCATTCGGCATCACCACACCGTGCATGATGACATTGTGCAGACCTTCGAAAATCAAACATCTTCAGGATGAAATGTCTTTACTGGCTGATTGTCTATGTATCTCACAGGGACCCGGGGTTAGTTGAACATCCCCTGGAGTTTTCACCCTGTGTAATTTGGGGAAGAAAGAATAAAATACCTGGTTTGGCCTGGCGAACAGCCTTAACCCATTTTTCCACCACAAGGGTTAGAAGGTTGAAAAATTAAAGGTCTGGGACGTGGCTAGCAGCCGAGCAAGATGGCCACTTGAAAAGTTGCTCCGGCACATGGGCTCCATTAAAAGCAAGTCTATCTCTGCAAAACTAAAAGCTCTGACCCCTAACAAGGATGTCTAAGCATAAATATAAAAAGAGCACATCTAGCGCTGAAAAGCAAAAAATTTTGGGACAGAAATCATCCTCCGCATCTGAGGTCATGCGGGCTCTGCTGCAAGATGGTGCCGATGACTCGGACGCCAGCAATCCAATACCAACTGTGGATGACTTCAAAAAACCTGACAGCCTAACCAAGGGATACTTTGAAAAAGCCCTGGAGTCTATGTCCACTAAGCTGATACAAACATGGCAAGCTACAGCAGACCAAATAAGAAAAGAGATCCTGGACCTAAACGCAAGAACGACCCACGTGCAGTCAAAATGTAAAGAATTTGCCTTGGCACATAATGGAGCATGTGCAGGCACTGGAACAGAGATTGGACCTCATGGAATCCTGTATGTCAGACTAGGAGGACAGAGCAAGGAGGAATAACCTCTGTTTACGAGGAGTCCCCTAGTCAGTCCTTCCGTTCAACCTCCAAGTCTTTGTTCGAGGTCTCATGCACACCTACACGCCAGGAGTCCCTGTGGACATGCTACTGGTGGACAGGGTCCATAGGGTACCGAAACCCTGATGCCTACCTCGACGCAGTGCAATGTACTTCTCAGAGTGCACTATTTTCACATCAAAGAAATCATCATGAGATCCTGCCGGAATAAACCTGATCCCCATGAGGAATACCGCACAGTACAAATTATGGTGGACCTGTCAACGGCAACCTTACGACGCCGAAAAGCATTCCAACCCATCACTGAAGAACTGCGAGAACAAGGGATCTGGTACAGTTGGGGATACCCCACGAAGATCCTGGTAACTAAAGATGTCAGGACGAAAATGATCAGCACCCTAGTGGAGGACATGCAGATGCTCAAAGAGTGGGGTCTGTGCCTCCATGGGCTGCAAGTACAACCTTACACAATATTTCTGTTATAAGCCATAGGCTTATCTGGTAGTTAACTAACTACTCTAAGCATTTTGTTTTTAATTTTCTCTTACAAAAGTTAATATATACGTGACCTGACACGTGATTGACTCATGTGTAACAACCTGACAGCTAATGCCAGAACCAACATTACCGCACACGTGTGTGACTGGGTGAACCCACTAAGCCTAAAATGCCATAACCTGGGTATACCATTGCCCGCGGAGGTGCCTCCGTCATGCCCACCCCAAAACAACTGAGACGGGATAAGACCGGGCCTCCTGCGGGTATGATACTGATGCCTTCACATAACAGCCAGCCCAGGCCACACAAGTTTTCTATGCAACTTATTATAGCTGTCAGTTGAATGTTTATCTCCTAATCGAACCAGTAAACCTCACGTTTAGGTCTGACTGTTTTCAAGAGTTTCATGGCCAACATGTTTTTTTATGTTTACCTATATGCACTCAATGTGACCTGACTTCCACCTGATGCAAACGATGATGGTCTACTGACTATATTTAATGAAAAATAAAAGATCAGGTTTTCCAAAGTCCTCTAGGCAAATAATTACTAGACTGGGTTTGCCCAGTCTCCTAGTCCTCATATTAAAATATAATCCAGCCAACATCTCCCAAAATAAGAAAAGAATAATAGGAATTATGATTTCTGGAAGTTGTGATCCATTGTGATGCATACAGATAAATGGAACAGGTTTAGTTGTCAGGGTTAATGCAATGTGCGCAGGATGGTGAAAAAATACAGTGTCTGCAGACTGGTTAGTCTAGGTGTACATTATAGGACCAGCCAGGTCTAGAATTCCAGAAATCTGAGTAAATGAAAACTAAGCCAAAGCCAAAGAGTAAGACAACAACTTTATCCAACTGCCTTATCGAGGCCTCTGGAAACCACAAACGGTATATCAGAAGGTAGCATCATCCTATAACACTAAATGATGCAGGTGCCTAGTAAGGATTTATAGGAAACTTAAAGCAATACACTGAGCACCAACACAACTTTGGTTTAATGAAGCAGGTTTGGGGTATATGTCATTCACCTGCAGTCTTAGTGCTCAATTCTCTGCCATTTAGGAAATAAATCACTTTATTTGTGCAGCCCTAGTCACACCTCCATGCATTTGACTGCACACACTTCCTAAGCACTTCCTGTAAAGTTTAATGTTTAAACTTCCTTTTTCAAATTCTGTTTAATTCATAAGTTCTTGTCTTCTGCTTTATTAATAGCCTTGTGGAGCCGGCAGGTTTAATTAACAGGGCAGTAGATAAATGCTTCTAAACTAAACATACTGTGCTGTAAGATCTGATTAGAAATGAAACTGTTTTTCATGTAAACTGTGTGAGTCAGGTGAGTCAGAGCCAGGGGAGGTGTAGCTAGTGCAACATTTAAAGTTCTGGTTCCTGCTTTCAAATCTCTACATAATGCTGCTCCCACCTATCTATCCTCTCTTATACACAAGCATGTCCCATCTAGGCCCTTACGATATGCTGAAGACTTACGTCTATCTTCTGTCCGTACTCACACCTCTGATGCTCGCCTTCAAGATTTCTCGAGTGCTGCACCGTTCCTGTGGAACTCGCTTCCCTCCTCCGTTAGATTCTCACCCAGTCTCCACTCCTTCAAAAAATCCTTAAAAATCCACTTCTTCATAAAAGCGTATCAATTAAACTGTTAATAGATCCTGACTGATTCATCTTCTGCAACTGTCATTAGTCTAATACTATCCTTACCTTTCTGTGTCACTATACCCCACTCCCTCTAGCATGTAAACTCATTGAGCAGGGCACTCAACCCATCTGTTCCTGTGTGTCCAACTTGTCTGGTTACAACTACATGTCTGTTCGTCCACCCACTGTAAAGCACTGCGGAATTTGATGGCGCTATATAAATATCATAATAATAATAATAATAATAATAATAATAATAACATAAACATAAATAAAAGTGATTTAACTGCTAAAAGTCAGAGAGACTTAAGGGGCATGATCTATACACTCTATACAATTATATTTCTCTACAATATATATGTATCTGTATATCTATACAATCTATACACATTAAGTGCTTCATTAAGCTAAAGTTGTTTGGTGTCACTGGTGTCTCTTTAAGTCCCAACATTTGGTGACCTATGTGCATAACTGCTTACCCACAACAAATGATCGCATTCCCCATGATGTGTTCTTGTCCCACCTAATAATTTGACAGACAATGGCTTAAGCTGGTTAGAATATCAGCCACATATTTTATCAAAGTGCATGACTTGCCTCAAACATTAACCAAATTACATGTACAGGAAGGGAGGGGCAGTGCCTTACAGTACTTCTCGATGATATATGTAGCAGAGATGAAGAAATATACAGTGCAGTATTTCTAGTACAATGGAAGGATAAGTAAGGAATACACTTGCAGATTTTGGGATCTTTTGAAAGCTCCACTTGTATGAGCCTGAGCTGTAAAATCCCCACTTCTGTATTCGTGTGGGTTTCCATCATCTTATTCAGCAGTCTGGGAGTTTGTATAAAAAATAGACTATTCTAGTGTAGTGTTTCTGGATAACAATGGATAAGTAATAAAATGAAAATGCACTCACGAGGTATGGAGCCTATGTGTTGGCTCCTAAAATAGAGCATGAGGTGGTATAATTCCCACTCTAGGATGCTGGCAAAAGTCCTCTCACTTTATAGAATATGCAATAAAATAGAAATAAGAAATATAGTGTACACTGGATGGACTGTTCCCCACCAAGGAAAGTAATATCCAGTATATGATGAATTAAAATCAAGAGAATCCAGGGTGTCATAAATAAATAAAATAATATTTATGTGTTAAAAACAATAAAGTATAGAGTAAAAAGGAACGCTAATGTGTTTCACCAATGTGACTTTTTCAAAGTGTTAAAGCACATGGGACCAACACTCCTACTGTAGGTATGTGGTCATCACATGATCTAAGCTTAGAAGACACAATAATACAATAGCACAATTAAAACAGAAATGTAACAATATAATATAAAAACTCTACCGATAACCAAATTCAATCTGCCGGGTGAGAACCATCAGACAGTTAGCATGAATAGTCTGGAGAAAGTCTGGAGAAAGAGTCTGGAGCAGTCTTAAATCCGCCATCAGCCTTTCTGCAACTGAACTGTTGAGCTTGCGAAGAGCACCACCGCTGTGACAAAACAAATAGAAAAGGAATATAGATAAACAGCAAAAAACAACACTATATCTGTTACAATACACATCACATGCACTGATCAGCCACAACTTTAAATCCACCTTCCTAATATCGTGTAGGTCCCCCTCATGCTGCCAAAAACAGCTCTGATTCATCAAGGCATGGGCTCCCCAAGACCTCTGAACATGTCCTGTGGTGTCTGCACATTGTGAGGTGGGGCCTTCATGGATAATGGATTAGTTATTCTAGCACATTCCACAGAGGACGTTTGGGACATTTGAAGGCCAAGGTGAAGGCCAAGGCCACACCTTGAACTCTATGTCATGTTTCTCAAACCATTCCTGAACAGTTTTTGCAGTGTGGCAGGGTGCATTATCCTGCTGAAAGAGGCCACTGCCATCAGGGAACACCACTGCCATAAAGGTATGTATGTGGCCTGCAACAAATCTCTAGGTAAGAAATACATGTCAAAACAATATCCACATGCATTCCAGGATCCCAGCAGAACATTGCCCAGAGCATATAACACTGCCTCCGCCAGCGTGCCTCGTTCCCATAGTGCATCCTGCTGAAATCTTTTCCCCAAGTAAACAATGCACACCCCCCCAATTATCCATCTGATTTAAAAGAAAATGTGATTCATCAAACCTGGCAACCTTCTTCCATAACTCCATGGTCTAGTTCTGATACTCATGTCCCCACTGAAAGCTATTTTGGCGATGAACATTGTCATCATGGACACTCAGACAGGTCTGCGGCTACACATCCCCATACGCAGCAAACTGCGATGCACTGTGTGTTATGACACCTGTCAATCATGGCCAGAATCTAGTTGTTCTACACGAGCATCAATGAGCCTTGAGCGTGCCCATTTTACCTACTTCCAATACATGAAATTCAAGAACTGACTGATCAGTGTATGAGTGAGTGGGAGGGAAAAGCGGGTCACTCTCAACCTACCTGCTGACCACTGGGTAAGACCACCACACTCACCCCTTATAATGCCTCTCCAAACCTTTGCAACAATGGATCTACTACCCTCATGGCATAGACCCGCTGCTGTGTGTGCAGCAGCCATGATCCCATTTCCCAACATGTCCAGGAAGATATCTCTGTATCTGCTTTAAACCTACTCATAGCTCTTTCACAGTTTTCTGAATGCTGCTAGAGATCTGACTTCCCATACAATTGTACATGAGTTTGTCAGAGGAGATAGAACCTTCCAGTGGGTCCACAAGATACAATTACTGATAGGGCTAGGCAGAAACATAGTTTAATAATTACAGATCAAGTATTCCATCACAGCTGAAAAATTCCATAAATAGATTTCCATGGTCCAGCCCTGTCTTTAACATCTGCATGCTACTCACCTTCTTCTCCTCTGATATAGACATCCACTTTACTCTTACCATTAACATACTACACTATAAACATAATGGCATTGCTAGCAACTATACCTGGAGAATTTCAAACCACTGGTGTTGACACAGCAACTCTATCAGGACACATTTCTAAGAAGTTCCCTTAAATGAAATGAATTATAGATTATTATTTTTAATTTTTGGGGGGCACATTGGGAGTTTGCTGGCTCTAACTTATGTTTTTAACTTTGCAACAATTTGAATCAGGAGTAAAGCTGAGTGAGCTGGCTACTGGGCACAAACCGGTGGTAATTTTCACCGTCCATCGTGGAAAACTGGTATCAGTGCTTTTGTCTCCTATTAATCTCTGTGAGAGATGTGAAATGTCAGGGTGGGCAATTTTAGCACGAGATACAGAGTTATTTACTAAAGTAAGAATAGAAAGGGAATTTAAA